GGACCGGGATTGTGGCTGCACCTTGGACAGGATGTAGCTGCATCACTCCTGCTGTGGACCCTCACGGGACCCTAGCTGATATCTACGGACCGGGACTGTGGCCGCACCTTGGACAGGATGTAGCTGCAGTCCCCATGCACATTGTAGAATTTCTCGTCATAGGTGAAGATGTGGGACCCGCCTTGCACAGAGCAGGTGGCGGGGCACAGCAAGTCCTGGCACTGCCACAATCCCCCGAAGCAGGTGCTGTGGACAAGTCCATGAGCAGAAGGGGTCCAGTGGGAAGAGGCAAGCCTCGCCCCGCATACCTCCACAAGGCTGTTAAGCTTACCAGGAGCTGCAGCTGGTGTTGAAGGACTCTCCAGGGGCATACGTGTGACCACCATGGGTACAGTGGCACTGCTGCAGGGGCACACAGCCCAAGTGTCTGATGTCATCCAGCACAGTGCCTGGAGGAAGGGACGGTGAATACAGATGCTAACCCCCCCCCCCCCGCCCTGTTCAGGTATTATGGGGCAGCTTACCTCCAAGACAACCCTAGTCCTAGGCAGGGAAGGGCCCCTAGTCTAGAATGCTGACCCAGCCTGAACTGATTGGGATAAGCTCCTCTGGGACTCAGTTTCCCCACTTGACCTCAGAGACTCAAGACACCTGTTCTGTCTGTATGCAGATCATCAGATCTCTGCCTTGTTAATAATTAGTTTCCATCCTTCCCTTAACCATACGATACAACCCCTAGCCAGGCCCAATGCCATTAGGAGTGGAGAGGGTCAGCTGAGGTGGAAACCATGACCCAAAGGTAGCCATGAAGGTGGGGGGCAAAGGGCACAGGGCCTGCCTGGGGGACAGAAGCAGCCATCCATGCAGTGGTCCTCGCAGAGCTGGGAGCGTTGGGGGTTGGAGCAGGTATCCACACAGGGCGAGCTGCACTCCTGGTGTTCCATGTTAAAAGGGCATGTCCGGTCTGAAACAAAGACAGCACTTGATCTAGGAGAAGTGAATCCTGACCTCTGCAGTCAGTGGGAGCCATGCCCACTCCCTGCTCCCATGTCCACTGAGGTCCCAGAAAGCCACCTGCTAGGCAAAAGCAGTAGGCTAGCGAGCAGGGGCCCAGCACTTCTCACACATCCTTCTCTGCCTATGGCCACCTGAGGCCACTGTTCTCCAGGAGAGCCTACCTTGAGGTTCTGGAGCAATATCTTCTTGCTGTGCCCAAGAACAGCCCAAGATCCCCCCTCTGGGACCAACAGGTCCACCAGAACCCTCAAGCACATCTTCCCCCTCAACTTCCCTACTACCTCTTCTTTCCCTGACATTCACCCTTTCTCAGTGGCCCTTAAGTGGCTCTCTCTACCTTGACTTCCCAGCCAGGTTCGAAGCTCAAGGCTGGTCCTCAGAAAGACCCTGGGCTATACTCTAGTGAGGATACTCACTGCACAGATCAGAACTCCTCCAGTTCTGTGGATGGCCCCCTGCATGGGCACACTGGCGGGAATATTCAGCAAAAGTGGCACATGGGCATGTGGGGCAGAGGCACAGGTCCTGGACACAGGCATCCAAGTACATGCTGACATCTACCAGGGCATGGCACTCGGCAAAGGCAGGGCCAAGCAGGACGTGGCGACAGATGTCCTCCTGGCAAGCACAGAGAAGTTAAGCACTTTCTGACCCTCAAGCAGGATTGTCATGAAACTTGTAATGGGGACCCTGCCCCTCCTAGGCCATGCAGGAAGCCCCTTCTTCCCCTGGAGGCTCCTTCCACCCACACATCCATTCATCTGTCTGTCTGTCCATCATCTATCCATCCATCCATCATCTACCCATCATCCATCCACCATTCATCTATCATTAATTCATCACTCATCTACCCATCCATCCATCCATCAATCACCTACTCCATCCATCCATCCATCCATCCATCCATCCATCCATCCATCCATTATCCATCCACCTTCCTTATACATTATTCTACCCAAATACTGTGCTATGTCTGGGTATAGAGCTCTACTTGGTTCTGAGGGAGTGACCCAGGACTCTCTGTTCCTCCCACCTTCTACTTCAAGGCTCCAAGGCACGCTGACTTGTGGCTTGTGCACCCAGGAGCATGCAGAATGCACCCCTGTGTGGTGGCTCAGAAGAGAGGGAAATCAAGATAACACCCACCCTTAGGTGGCCCCCATGGACTCAGGTAGCTACTCAATATCTTCCTACCCTAGCACCCCAGAGAGACCAGGATTTTACAACATTCTCATTCACTTCACAATTCAGGTAGACTCAGGTATTCTGCTAGTTTCAGGGATTCTGGAATAAGAGCCAAAGGATGAGTCCTTCCTGCTCACAGGAGAGGCTTCTTGAGGGTCCACCTTGGCCCTCTGTGTGGTGGTAGACACACATTCCCTCCACACACATCACCTACACACAGAGAATATGTGTTTTCTGATGAATGAATTGTGACTTGCATCAAAAATGCAATCCATTTTGTCCCACCAGGGAGAGCCAATCTGGCCTGCCTCCCTCAGGCCCAAGCAGCAGCCTCCTGGGAGCTCAGAGGCCATTCCCTGACTGTTCATGAGCTGGAAAGCCGTCTCTGTCTGGTCACCAGAAGATGTTCCTCAGCCATTGGCCAGGCAGTTCTCTGCTCTTTCATCCATTGATGTAGGTCTTGCACTGTTCCCAGCCTTGGGAACTGTGGGATTATCAAGATGCTCACCCTATCTGTGCAGTTGTTGACAGCTGAGGGCAAGGTATCCTGGCACTGCTCTGTAGGACCATCCAGCTTCTGCAGGTTTCCAAACTGCACAGGGGTCAATCTGGAGTCTGCAGGAGAGAAAGCTCACAGTCAGGAGATAGACTTCCTGAGGAGGCTATCAGGGGACTCTATTTGGAACACACACACACACACACACACACACACACACACACACACACACACACACACACACACTTCCCTCTAGGAGTCTCGGCATGACGCCCACCAAGCTCCCTCCCGGACTTCCTTGATTCTCTGGCCCTTGGGACCACCTGGCCTGAAGACTCAGTGGCACTCACTGTGGGCGTAGAACTCATTGACAGCTGGGAGCCCGTTGAAGTCGCCGCACAGCCCACACGTCTGGTTGGTATATTTGGAGTCCAGCTCGAGCTGAGGGTGGGACAGAGCAACTCCAGCCTCAGGGCTTCTGCTCTGGCTCCAGGGCCTATCTGGCAGCTTCCCACCCCGCTTGCCCAGGGGACCAGAGAAGATATTCCCCCAACAGTCTGTAGGATCCCTATAATAGGGCCAGGGACTATAAGCATTGTGGGAGAGCTGCAAGGGGGTGTGGGTGAACTGTAAGGATATGCGGGAGGCTGTATGGGCTGTGGGAGACTGTGGGAAGCCATGAGTGACTCTGGGAGTTTATGAAATCTATGGGGAGCTTGTAGAGTCTTTGGAAACTGTGGGATTATAGAGTGGAATGGGAGGCTGTGGGAGACTATGTGGGGTGGGCCTGGGGGTCTGTGGAACTGAGAGGGATTATGTGAGGCTGCAAAGGCCTGTATAAGGCCTATATGATGTAATGGGGGACTGCAGGGAATTGTGGGTGAATCTCCTCACCAGGGCACTGTCTTCATTCCACAGGAAGGTGAGGACCAGCCGGATGCTGACCTTCACATAGCCACTGCTCTTCTCCATCAGAAGACCTGCACGGCTGTAGGGTAGCTCCACCCTAGGCAGAAAGTTCTGGTCTTCCTTCAGCAGGGTATGAGTAGGGGCTGTCTTCCCCACTCGCTCTGCTCCTGACCCCTCCCCAGAGCAACAAGTGGGAACAGAGCAAGGTCTAAAGGCCTGGCTTGAACATGCTTCTCCTCAAGGCCCAACTCACCCCTGTCCGTCCACCAGGACAGAGCCATTGGACAGCTCAATCACCAGCCCCTGGGTCCTGAGGACCACATGGGTGACCATGGGCCTGGAACCCTCCAGACCACGGCGCAGTTGGATGTTGAAGTCCTCGTAGGTGGCCCCACAGTGTGAAGAGAAGACATAGTTACAGAGGCCAGGGAAGTGGAACATATCACCGTCGAAGGTCTTATAGTGGAAGTCACCCCATGTGCTGCACACTCTTCCATTGTGTACCACGTTTAAGGCTACAGGGAAACCAGATGGAGTCACCATGGAATGCTACCACTCCATGCCCAGTTACCCAAGGGACATCAGCCTGGGGCCAAGGCAATATCTTTGGAGCGAGGGAGCCAGCTACCCACAACCATGTGAGCCAGCTCTCTGCTATTCCACTCCCTCTGCTGCTGGAATAAAACCTGAAGACCCAGACCCACCCCTCCTCCCTTTCATTGACCACATCCCAAGGTGGTCAGCTGTTCAGGGGCCCCACCCTATGTCAGCTTCAACCAGACTGTCAAGTCCATCTCTACCTCACCCTACTCCCCCCACCCCAGCCCTACCTTCCACCCCCACCCCGTACACTCCTTGGCATGGCTGGCAGTAGGTATTTTCTACTTACGGCTCACGCTAGTGAAGACAGTGACAGGTGGGATGAAGGTGACATGCTGGGTGGATGAAGATGTGGGGGCTGCAGGAGGAAGGTCAGGTCATACTGGGGATGTGGCTGTGGATATCCTCCCTGGCCACCCACCCTCTTCAATGCCTACCTCAAGGAAATCAGGAAGCCCCCAAGTAATAGATTCCAGGCTATTCATTTTCTCCATGGTCACCCCTAGACCCTCTCCCTGAAACCTTCTCCTGTCTGCCTAGGAGTTCTTCCTCTCCAGGGTGCTCCTGTCTGTGTGTGCCCAGCACTGCCTTCAAGCAGAATGGACCAGTCAAGAGTCTCCATGTGATAACTGGTATGGTAAGACTACCTGCCTGTTCCACCTGAGCCCCATCCCACTCACTACTGCCCCTGCCACCAGAACATGACTCACCAACCCGGAGCCCAAGCCACAAACCGTCATATGCTTCATGACCATCTCCGGTGAATCCTGGGTATTCCTGGCCCTGGATCTCTGCAGGAAAGAGAAACATGTGTCAAGAAGCCATCAGACCATGGACTGGCTCTCGTTCCAGGTCAAGGCCTTCTTGTAATCTATAGAAACCTGAACAGATTTGGGCCTGGTGATCCCAACCCAGTCAGCTGAAGTACCTTTTGGTCACTAAACATCACCAAAGACCCAGGTGTCCTCAGGAGTTCTGGCCCTTCCAGACCAGTCCTTCCCCTGCAGTGGCCCTCACCACCTGCACCTATGGAGTGACACCTGGTCTTGCCAGGAGTAGGGCAGATGTTTCCAGTGGCTCAAGTGATCATCTGTTGGGAGGTGACTGTCAGCCCCATCACTTGAGTCCCTTGGAAGTCAAAAGCTGGCTTTGTTAGGGGGTACACAATTAGAGGTTGTCACGAGGGACACAGCAGAAAGAAACCTGTGATTAGAGTCAGCCCCACCCTGGTTGAGAGGGTCAGTTCTTGGTGCAGGATGTCCACTCTCAGTGGCCTGGATTAGCCACTGCCTCTGGGCAAGGCCACCTCCACAGCCTAACTGCTAGAGGCCCAGGAGACAGCTTCAACCTCCACAGCTCAAGCCTCCAAAACCTGATGGCTCCTTAAGGCCAGCACTTTGCAGGAGACCATGTCCCCCAGGCCTAGACCCAGATGGCTACTTGCCCCAGTGCCATGGGCATCTCGGCTTCCTGTTTGATTTTCCCAGCGTGTCCAGCTGACATTTGGAAACCGCAGGGACCGTCCTGTGCATGAATCCTTCCTCAAGGGCCCCGCTTGACTGCATTCCCCAGAGGGCATGGCCTCTCCCTCTGTCCACCACTAACCCCAGATCCAAAGCCTCTCCCAAGTGTTCCTGGCCCAGCCTGTCCTCTGCCATAGCCTCCACCCCAAGCACTGCGGCTCTATGCCAGTCCCCCTTGGGCTGAGATCTCTCAGTCTCCACTTAGCTAGAAAGTTGTCAACCACCCATCACAGCATCTTGGTCTGGGTTCCCACTTCTCATCCAGACAAGAACCAAATCCCCTTTATTTGAGGGCCCGGACTCTCACCCTTACCCCAAGCACAGCTGTCACAAAAGCACACGCCCCCAACCCAGGGCTTCATTTTGCCCTTCTCGAGGAGAGGGAGTGGGGAAGGAGGGCTGACTGCTCACCAGGTAGGCTCAGCACTATGATGGACAGGACCTGACACAGGAAGAGCCACATTATGGAGGGATATGGCCCAGGGGAGCAGTTACCAGCCGGCAGGTAGCCTTGGAAGTGAGAGGGACAGCCAAGGCCTCTTTGGCTCTCACAGAATGGGCTTTGGGGACACCACCCTCCCTCACTGTCTTCTCTCACAGATACAGAAAGCCTGTATCTGGGGTTCCTCCTGCTCAGCCTCCTGGTCTAGGGAACAGAGCTTGGGGAGGTCATGGCACTTGGAGATTCAGGCCAGCTCTGCCTGCTTACTGCTGAGCCCTGTGGGGGCCATCTTTCCAGTACTGTTAACAGTATTAGTACTGCGGCCTTCTCAAGGGCAAAAGGCAAGGAAAACAGCTCAGCTGACAAGTCAGTCCACCTGACTCAGCCTTGGGTTCAGACTACAGCTCTGGGTATCATATCCATCTGATCTGGCTCCAGCTCGAATATCTGGAGGTAGAATCCACCTCACCAAGGAGGCCCCAGCCTTGATGAAGATCATCTTGGTTCTTGTGATCCCAGCAGTGGGGGGGGGGGGGGAGCAAGGCCTGTCCTAACTAGAAGTCTCCGTCTTTGCTAATTCTGATATGGCCCTCTCTGACTCAAAAAAGACCTCTGTGATCCTCCCATTCCTCTCCCATTCCTGTTCACTTCCAAAGCCAAGACTGACGTGGGGGTCCCACACCAAGGTTCATACATCGAGGCTTGTAGGACCTAATTTCTTCCAGACACCTCCATCAAAGGCCCTTAGGTTACTGACACAGCTAGAGTGTGGGACATAGGATCCAGAGCCCAGAAAACTGCAAGGCCTGAGACTGTGGTATTGGGGACAGTGGGGGTTGCCTGTCATCTCAGGAGGGAAAAAATCCCAGGGAGAAGTCAATTCTCCAGGAAGACGGTTTTTAGAGGGCAAGGGGCTTCAGCCTTACCTGCTGGCCACACCTTGAGCAAGGCCACAGAGGCCCAGACCAGAGCCCAGCACCAGATCCTGCTGCCCATCCTGGGGGCAGCACAGAGGGCAGGCAGGAGGGACTGAGACAAGGCACTTGCTCCCTGGGGGCCTGGACTTATGTAGCAGAAGGCCTTGGCTCTGTGCCCAGTTCCTAGGCCATGTAGGGCACTGTCTACTCCCTGCACAGCCACGTGTGTTTGCTCTTGGGGAGGGGCCATGGCAGGAAGAGGCCATGGAGGAGGAAGGATTTGTAGCACTGTGCCACCAGACAGAATGCCCCCACCCCCTGCAGCTTCTGAGAACTGGGAGGGAGTGGATGGGGCAAGGAAGGGTCAGCACTTGGCCAGGGGGTGGAGCTGGCTACTCTGGATTCAAAGCCCTGGACCTATGGAGTGGGTATTTGGTCAGACAGCCCCATGTCAACTCTTCTGGGGGCCTGGACAGTACAGGGATCAGGGTCGAAGGGGCAGCAACCTTGGCTTGTGTTTATCCAGGAAGCTGACCCCAGATGCTCAACACTGAGTCCCAAAAGAATGGTCAAGGATTGAAGGTGGGCCCACTCCTCAAGGGTCATCCCTCAGCCTGGAAAATAGGGGCCAAGCAAGGGATTCTGATTGTGCTCCATATGGCCATGGATCTGGTAGGGTCCCTGTTCTATGTAGCTTATGGGGGTCCAGAGAGGAGGGGACTCCTCACAGACTCTGAGAAAGGATGCATCTCTGGGCTCCTGTCTGCTGCAGAGCTCAAGCCCATGGTGAGAATGAGGCCCAATGCTGGTTTCAGCCAACGTAGGCCACAGACTTCCCTGTTGGACTCTGCCTCTTCCTGGGGCCAGCTTATTAACCCTAGGCCTTGACAAAGGAGATGGCCAAGGGTCCCAAAGGCCTTGGACCTACCTGGGGCCTCAGCTCACGGAACTGGTGAACCCCATACCAGGGGCACAGTGGGGCGAGAGAATAACTGGGAGTTTCCTGACCCTACTGCCCATCCTGAATGGGAATTCCAGAGGCTCAGCTCTCTCAGTTGTGTTGGTTGGGTCTCCTGAGGGTTGTGGGGAGCCATTTCCTTGACCATGAACAAACCCACCAATGCCATTTCTAGGCTGCTGCAAAGAGCAGGATGTTCACGTCTTAGCACTGCTTTCCTGTTAGATGCACACAGAATTTGCTCACATCCCTTCTCTTATAGCCTTGCAGCCACCAGCAACACATACCAGATCTCAGCAGCCTGAGAAAGTTCGGGGGGGGGGGGGGTGAGCCAGGTTGGGGAAGTGGCACAGTGTTCGAGTGACCTCAGTATCCTGGAAGTCCCTCCCTGACTGCCCCTGCACTTACCTTTCTGAGGGTAAATTCCTAGAGATGAAATGTTGGGAAAGGGAAAGGTCCATATGACAAGCCTTTGAACTATCTCACCACCAAGAGGTCAGCTGCCATTGAACAACAGAACACGGGTAGTGCTAGTAGGGATGTGGGGAGGCAGGAACCCTGATTAGTCAGTGGACAGCCAAGTGGGGCCATCCTGACACTTAAGTTAGTACTATATGGCCTAGCAGCTCTACTCTTAGGTACATTCCCTAGAAAGAGAGATAACAGTGACTAATACTGCCACCTCTGATCTAGTGACCTTATCCATGGCTGCTAGAACAGAGGTACCCCAGGCATCTGACAATGGCTGAGTGAGTGATGGCGCATTCCTACAGTGGAATAGTATACAGACTTTTAAAAAGAGGGCCTTCTGATACCCTCCACAACCTGAGTGGACCTTGAGGATCCTGGTCTCTAAAGAGACTCCTGCAGGATCCCGCTTCTGGAAGGACCCCAGAGTTGTCCGAGGCAGAGACAGAAAGTAAGATGGGATGCCAGAGGCTGAAGAGTGTGTCTTTAGTGGGGACAGGGTGTCCACAGGGAAGATGGAAAGTTCTAGAGGTGGATGTGGGTGGCTGTGCATGCTGCTGAGCTACAGCCTTGGATGTAGTCAGTGTGGATAAAACCATGTGGACTTTATCTCAATAATGATGTCAAGAGTCTGCTCACATTTGCTCCTGGCATGGCAGATGCCCCCAGGTTCCTGGGTGGGCTCAGGCTGGCTTCCAGGCTGACCCCTGTTTTTCACCTTTGCAGTTTTTTTAGTGCCCAGTGTGTGTGTGTGTGTATAGCATGTGCAGCCTATGACTGCTGCTTAGAGACCTGGTGCTGGGTCTGGTATTGCACATCAGACCTTTGCTCTGTATGCTGCCCACCAGGGTCTTCCGATCTACCATGTCCTCTTTCACATCCCGTTCCACTTTCCACTGCTAAACGGTGCTGTTCAAGGACCCCCAGAGATGGTCTGGAGAGTGGGCTATGTCCCCTTCCTAGATGGTCCCTGTCAACAGCATGGCTTGAGTAGGCCTCAACTGCAACCTGCCCTCCTTGGCCTGCCTACCTGCTCACAGGCTGGGCAACAGCTGGTATTCAGTTGCACTTAATTCACTGATAAGCTGGTCTCAACAGGAGAATCCTGCAGACTCCCACCTCTGGAGCACCCACTGCCTGGGCAGCTGGCTGCCTTACCAGTTTCTCTCCCCTGCACAGGACCTGGCACCCTGTGTTCACTGAGCTGGGCCCAGCGGGCCTCATCCACCCCCAGCTCAGGTGATGTTGCCAACTCTTGTCTATCCTTACTCAGAAAAAAATCTCACTGTAGCCTTTGTGCCCACAGGCCACACACAGTAGGCACTCCATAGATGCACATACTGCGCTGGGGAAGCTGTAGCTCCCACCCAAGTCCTTTCCTTGTTCTGGCACTGAGCATATCTCTGGGGACGGAGGGTGACAGCTTGTTGGGGTCGCAGCTGTTGAGACATCCCGGATGTGGTGGCCACCCGGCCTGTTTGCACAGCCTTTGGAGTTTACCTCTTCACAGTTGAAGGAGTTGGAAGCTGTGAACAGGGAGGAGAGGGACAGAAGGGACATGGTTGTTCCTGCTTGGCAGGGCTGGGGGGAGCAAGTGGCTGGCCAGCCGCCTCCTGGAGTGCAGAGTGTGTGTGTGGGTGCCTCGGCTATGCCAGGAACCAGCCCTGTGGTTTTGACCACAGAGCCTGGGGCGGGACCCTGTCCTTCATCCTGGCCTCTGAGCCCAGGGCCAGCCAGGACAAAGGGAACTGCACTGGGCCACACAGAGCTCAGGGGTGAATATGGTCCCTATGGACAAAGGTTCCCCAGGGCCACAGAGAGTCTATGTTGACCCGTCCTAGGAACATTGCTTCTTGGTTTGGGCTCATGTCTCCAATACATTCAGAGGTTCCTAGCAAGACCAGTCTTCAAGAGGAAAGAGATGGAAAGTACATGGCTTTCATGGATTCCACACTCCAGCCTGTCACCACACATGCTGCATAGTGACACTAGAGAAGCTATTGGGGTTGGACAGGTCACCCTAACTCTAACAACCTGGTCGTCTGAGTTGTCATCACATGAAATAGGCTCAGTATGCACCTCCAACCCTGTACCCAGGCTTCAAGAGTATTCCTGGCTAACTCTGCCTCCTCCAAGGACCTTAAGCTCCCTGGCTTCCACCGTGGACCTCAGGCAGATGCTTCCTGGTCTATTTGTCTTTCCCTCTGTACCCTTTTCCTAACTGGTGCTGACCTAGGCAGAGGTATAAAAAGATCCATGTGGTCACTTCAAATCCTAAAACAAGGTTGGGCTCTTAGAGACAGCAACACAGTTATCCAGGAGCCAAGAGAAGGTCACCCTGTTGTATGAGGACTGGTGGGTGATGGGCAGCCTCCTGAAGATTAGAGAATGGTGACACCAGAGATTATGAATAAGGGCAAAATCCCTAGGGCAGGGATTAGCTGGTTCAGGAAGCCTTTAAAAATATGTCTAGGACTGGAGCACAGAGAGAAGAAGCAAGACAAATGGGCAGGTCAGGTAAGGGAGCATTTCAGAGTTCTTCTCTACTTGGAGGAATTGAGGATGTTAACAGGAAACATAAGCAGACTACATGACACTTGAGTGTGGTAAAATGGATCTAACTTAAATTCCCCATGGTCCCCACATCTAAGCATACAGCCCAGGAGCTTGAAGCATGTTTACAGTGCCATGAAGGCATCCTTACCATCATCTACCTCCAGAACTTCCCATCTTTCCAAACTAGAACACTGTCGGATTGAACATGAACTTTTCATCTCACTTCCTCCAGCTGTGACAACTCTTCTGTAATAGTTGGAACATAATTGACCCCCATAATTTCATAGGGAGTGGCACTATTAGGAGGTGTAGCTTTCTTGGAGTGAGTATGGCCTTGTTGGAGGAAGTGTGTCACTATTGGGGGGGTTGTGGTTTCCTATGCTCAGGATACCACCTAGTGTGTTAGTTGACTCCTGTTGCCTGCAAGATATCGCACTCTCAGCCCCAGCACCATGACTGTCTGCAAGCTGCCATGCTCCCTGTCATGATGGTAATGGACTGAACTTCTGAAACTATAAGAGTTGCCGTGGACATGGTGTCTCTTCACAGCAATAGAAAACCCTAACCAAGACAGAAGTTGGTACCAGGAGTAGGGTATTGCTGTGACAGGCCTCACTGTTTTTTGTTTAGAGTAAAATGAATTTGGGGACTGTGGATTAGAAAAGCAGTTGAATGTTTTAAGTGCTGCTTCATGGGCCGTAGGAGGATGGCAGACAGTGGTGCTGAGTGTGAGATGATGAACTGTGGGGGTGCTCACTCAAGAGGTTGCCAAGGAGAAGAGATTTAGTATGTGAGTTTTAGTAGTAGAGATCATTCGTGTGATATTTTGGTGAAGAAAGTGGCTGCCTTTTGCCCTTGTCTGAAGAGTCTGCCTGAGGCTAAAGTGAAGAATTTTGGATTAATTCCATTGACAGAGGAACTCTCAAAACAGCCTAGTATAGATTCTGTTGTAAGGTTACTAGTGGTAACTCTAATGAAGATGTATAATGAAAAGGAGTGATCTGGGCAGGATAAATTACGAAATGAAAATTTTGAGGAAAAAAAGAGCACCAGGAAATAGAATAGAGCTAAATCCTGTGTTCAAAGAGAAAAACACATTAAGAAATGGA